TAGCAGTCTTCTCTGTGCTATGCTATTTTCATACTGATAAATTAAATATCATCCTCATATAATGTTAGCATATTTTGTACCAATAATATAATTTAATTTTAAAGTCATAATTTAGTTTTTCATAACTACGTTCCGTTATTTTTCTGACCCTTAGTGTTAAACACCCTTTAAGATTTCTATATCCTCTTGTGAAAAACTGTGGAATTGCTGTTTGATCTAATACAGTTTTAACTGCAAACATTAAAATAAATAAATTTTACTCACTTATAGCTCACTGAATTTTAAATAGAATTTTACTAAAACATTTGTGTTGAGATTACAGAAATAATTTTGTTGGCACTAACTGAAACTGTAAAGTGGATTTAATTCCCATCATGCTTTGCATTGAACTGGATGTGGAAAGTAAATGTTTAAAAAATGGTGAAATGTAATGTTATTTTATGCGTTTTTGAGCTAGATGAAAAAGGGCAAGACTTGTTAGTGTTTAATCTTGTGTAAACCATTTCTATTACTTCAGAGTTTTTTTTTGTGGGTTACCATTTAGGTGAAGAGTGGCGCCTGTGTGTAGCTATGTTGAATACAGGTGTGTGTTCGCTTGATTAAATGGTTTTTCTTTAATACCAAAATCTATTACTTTACAAACACTGATGGAATGCTATTTTTACTTTCTTGCACTTTCTAACAGTTGTGTTAGTAAGAACAGCTGCATTTTTCTAGCATGCAAACAACATGTGCTTGTTAGCATGAAATATGCCACACAAACTGTTAAGATTGGAGTGAAATGATTGTGAGCCTTGTTAAAAACAAGCTTCAAATTATTTTTCTTAGCACTGGGATCTTTCAGAAGGATATGCTGAGCAACATGTACTATCTAGGAACAGCTCAAGGTTTGATACACTTTCCCACTGGTTCTTCTGGTGTTGAGGTTTAATTTACTACACAGTTCTCTGGAATTCTTGATTGTGATTGGTCAGATGCTGCATTTAGTGGTCAGATATTTCCAGTGGTGGAAAGAGTACTGAAAAAATATACTCAAGTAAAAGTACACCATTTTTAAACTACTCAAAAAAAATACAATTACTGATAAAAACTACTTAATTACTGTAACGTGAGTATTTGTAATTCGTTACTTCACACCCCTTCTGAAAAAATTGCTATTGTCCTGGGCAACACTGTATAACTCATCTGGGAATCCAGTGTTTAGTATAACTGTCCTTGTGTCCTCCAGTTTTCTGTGTTGCTGTTAGAGGTGTTGTTAATTAACATTTGTTAAACCAATGAAAAAAAGATAAGGAAGATGGACTTCTGCCAACGTCCAAGACAGTAGATGAGCCGTCACTTTAAATGGCATGGATCCATAAAATGTTCTCATAAAATGGTTATATGATCAGAGTGGCAATCATTACTTAAATTAAAAAGAGCTCTTTTTAAAGAATAGGGTCAGATGCATATAATGGAAGATGGCTTAGTTCTCAAAGTAACAGATTATTTAAGTGATTCTTTTTATGTGTAGGCTATTAGTTATTCAAATTGAAATGATTCTGAATATTACAATTATTCAAAATCATAAAAAAATAAACCCCTCTACTGTGCGTATATCATATATATATGAAATGCATGAATACACACACACATATATATATATATGTGTGTGTGTATTCATGCATTTCATATATATATGATATCATTTAAATAATACAGAAACATTACAAACATTGATTTAATAGTTGTATGAAACATACAGGGAGAAATGTTCATATGGCATCATAATGCATATCATCTTACATCTCTGTTGTAACTGCAGCAGCTGTGTTGTTTGATGATAGCTGCAGTGAGATGAAGCTGATCACATCATTTCTAGTCAAACTGCCTCCTCGAGATGCAGAGCTGCTGCAAGGACAGATTCACCTCTTCTTGTGGTTCCTCTACCTGTCTGTGTCTGGATTTATGACCTCGTAGCTGTGAAGACTTTTTTAGTTTGGAACAGGTCCAGCTCTTACCTCATCCGAGAAGCTTTTACATCATCGTATTACGATGACAGATGACAGTACATACGGTACTCTCTGAGCACTGGTGTTCCACTGCCCTTATCCAGCCGTTTGGAGTGTTAAAGCTATAAACACTAAATAAATTACAATAAAACGACATGTTTACTCTGCTTTTACTGTTTTGCACTGTGTTATTAATATGAAAGGGGTAATGCTATAATATAGGAAAGGATAGAACAAAGTGACAATCTCTGCTTAGGCCTTTAATCAGTCTGGCTATGTACATTCTGTCATCAACATTCAAATTATCAATGTGCTCAAACCTTTGGTCCAGTAATATGACTAATACAATGCTTGTTTGAGCACTTTCATCTCAAACAGAGGAGCATATATTAAGCCAACCTTAATCTAAATTAATTACATGGCTTTGATGTTAGCGTTCAATGGGTTGATTAGTGGAGCAGAGACATGCATATTCCTGAAATCATTACTGCAAACACATACACTCATCTCTCTCCACTTTGTGTTTCTCACCAACTTGAGCATGTCATCTCTCTTTCTTTGCCATATACTGCACATATACCTTTTCCTGAATTCAGATTTTATCTTTCCCCTACATTCTAAAACAAGAAAGAAAGCTATATAGATAACTATAAAGATATCTATATTAGTGTCTACACCAAGGCACAGTAACGTTCTGTTTATTTTAAGCGCTGCCACTTTAAATGCTCCAGCTCTTTAAGGGTAAATTCAGATTGGCTGTTGATTTTTTTTTTATCATTCATCAGCTGGAACAAATCATTTTGAAAGTGATTCCAATGATATTGTGTGTCATTATTGCTATAGTTGTTGAATTCTTTTAAATTCAGAACGATAAGACTATATCCTTATCATTATAATTATGGTCCATGGTGTGAATGCCCCTTTGTAAAAATAGTGCCTAATGTATTGTGTTAATATGAAGGAATTTTCCGTATTGAATTTTCACAGGTGTTTTACCTGTATTTTGAATTACAGATTGCATTTAGTTGTGTTTTAGGGTTAAAGGTAATGTCCATAAGTTAACGGATAATGTCCTGGCAGATACTTACTGTACCAGTACCTTTTCCATTTTCATTATTGACATTATTTAGTCACCCTCATGCCATTTCAAACCTGACTTTCCTACGTGGAACACCAAAGGAGATCTTCAGCAGAATGCCCGAGCTGTTCTCTTCCATACATTGAAAGTGGATTTGGACCCAGACTGTCAAGCTCCAAAAAATGACTAAAAGCCCCTAAAAGTAGCCCATACAACTTGTTTTTTTTTGAAAACGTAGGATATCTTTGTGTAAGGAACAGAATGAAATTTAAGCTGCTTTTCACCTTGAAAATCTTGCTTATTTACCACTTTCATTGTATGGATAAACCCATGCATCTAACAAACATGTTCTAAGAATGTTTTGATAATATTTTTTCATAATAATTTCATAATTATATTATTTAATAATATGAAAATGTTATTTCTGAATGTTCTCTAAAAAAAAAGGAAAACAATGACATTTTTTAATGTTCTCTGAGAAAAAAAAAGGAAAACAATTACATTTTTTTTTCATTGGTTATGTGAATGTTAAAGACAACATTAAGTGAAATGTTCCATTTTATTATTGTGCAAACAAACATTATGGGAATGTTAATTTTAAATGTTCTCTAAACCATCTTAGACGAACATCCAACTAAAATCTTACAGAAAAACATTCCATGATATAGAATGTTTTTGTACTAACGTTTTGAGAACATTATTAAAGACCACGTACATTTGAATGAACATTCTAGTAACAACTGGAATAATTTTTGTTTATAACTTTGAGAGAAATTTTCCAGAACGTTCCCTGTTCCCTGCTATGAAATCAGCTTGGATATTCTGCTGTAAGTAACAACTGTTTTACACTAAAAAAAAAAAAAGATATAAAGGTTTGTAAGTTATGACAGAATTTTCACTTATGGGTGGACTTATCCTTTTAAAATTAGGACTGAGGCCTTGTCTGTGACTGTTCTGCATTTACTTGTTTATGTTCACACATGGCATTTGCAATGTTAAATGGTGAACAAATTATAGTTTTCGGAACAACATATGCATAAATTTGCAAGTCAGTTCTACATTCTCTTAATGAATTCAGTTTAATCATAGATAGACAGACAGATAGATGGATGGGTGGCCAAATGGATAGATCATAAACGTCCACTGAGTTCTACATTCTCTTAATTCGATTTAATGATAGATAGATAGACAGACAGACAGACAGACTGATAGATACTTAAATGGATAGATGGACAGATAGATCGATAGGAAGATCATGTCCTCATACTCTTTGTCACATATGGATTTTGCCGTCTTAAATGTCTGTCTCATGTGCAGTGAAATGGCTTCTACTCTCAGATCTTGATTTGGTCCATTCTGACCTGTCACATGTCTGCAGTCTCTGTATTTATGTCTCTGTGCTGTGAGTGTAATGCCGGGAAGGTAATTGCCTATTAACATTGTAGAAAGCCGTTCAGTCTCCTAAAACCCAATGAAAGTGGAATATCTTGACTGTGTGGCTCAGTTCAGGATGTTTTACAGTTCATCTCACTTGAGTGAATCATAACCTCCTTGAAAGAGTTTTTCTATGAAGGTAGAATGACGTCAAAAAGATTTGCATACGCAGGGTAAGAGTTGTGGAAGTGTACATAAGACTGTAAGCGTAAATTAAATTTGCATGCACAAGAGAAGCTTTGTAAAGGTGTAAATCGTGTTTCAAGCGCAAGAAAATTTACACCTTTACAAAGCTTCTCTTGCGCATGCAAATTTAATTTACGCTTACAGTCTTGTGTACACTTCCACAACTCTTACCCTGCGTATGCAAATCTTTTTGACGTCATTCTACCTTCATATTTTTCACAGATCAGGAGGTGAGTATGACAGTGATCTTGTCATAGTTTGAATCCAAAGAGTGTTTTTTTATTCTTAAAAAAAAAATTTCACAGATGACAATGTCAGCATGGATATTACTGCTCACTGCGGGTGTGTCTGTCCTGGGACTGTCATGGGGTCAGCGGACTGAACCCATGTTTGCCTCAATAACTCAGAGTGTTTTCCCGCCGGACTATGAGAATAACCCTACGCAGCTCAACTACGGCGTGGCTGTCACTGACGTGGATGGAGATGGAGATCTGGAGATGTTTGTTTCAGGGTGAGTGTCCTAGTCTTCAGATCATATGCATTATTTTCAGCAGTATAATGAAGAAGTGAAGCGTTTATGACATTATGCTTCTCTAGGGAAAATACTTTATCAGTGTTCTTTATCAAGTTATATGGTGCTTTTGTGCTATTTGAGTGAACTTACATTTTTGCGATATTGACAGAACAGATGCACTGGCCAAGAACATTACCTCAGTTTGTGGCTTGAAAGTGATATTTTCTAGGGGAAGCAGAAATGTCAAAGCAATTAATTGGGATTATTTGTAAACCATTTGTGAAATGATTTGGATCTTAGTGAATTTGCGTTGATGAAAATAGATGAAATTGGAGAGTTCAATGTTTTGTTTGAGTTGTGCTCAAGAATGAAATTAAGTGCAACTGACAGAATCGTATCTCTAGGGAAACTAGAATCTGTTTTTCCTTCCATTAAATGACAGCTGAGGTGGAATTGTGGGATTGCAGGTCAGTGAAATACACAAACAATGATGTTCCTTGTTGGAAACTGGGAACAAATAAATTGAATATGGTTATACATTAATCCTTCAAGGCATGTTTTTATTTGAGTTGAATTTTCAGGGAATATATCCTGAATTAAATTTATTTTTCCTACCCCGCTGGCTTTTTTTTCTTGTTTTAAGCATTTTGACTTATTTCTCTAATATTTAAATACTTTTTTATATGAAAGATTTTACTGGAGAACAATACATACTGATTAAGGATTTTTTTTCTGTGGCCCTTTTTTTTTTTTTTTTTTTTTTTTAAATATACACAATTACACAAATGTTCTACTTTTTTCTCTTTAGCTACAATGGCCCAAATCTGGTGCTGAAGTATGACAATCTTAAGAAGAGGCTTGTTAACATTGCGGTTGACAACCGCAGTTCTCCATATTATGCACTCAGAGATCGACAGGGCAATGCCATCGGAGTGACAGCATGTGACATAGATGGTGATGGCAGAGAGGAAATTTACGTCCTTAACACTAATAACGCCTTCTCAGGTATGAAACGGTTTCATAAACAAGGCTCTGATGGAAATGCTACTGTAAATGGATGTTAGTTTCATGTAAATTATTCATGTCATTTCATGCAGGGAGAGCAACGTACACTGACAAGCTCTTTAAGTTTCGTAACGGGCGGTTTGAGGATCTACTGAATGATGACATAAATGAACACAGAGACGTTGCCAATCGTGTGGCTGGCCGGTCACTCGCATGTGTGGACAGAAAGGTAACACCTCTAATAAGTTTGTGTTGAATGAAAGCTTTTGCAAAAGCTTGATGGTACAAACACTTCCTTCAGGAAAACCAACCAGGTGGAAAAATAAATAATTTGTATGTTTTCCTCCAAAATCGCACAGATCTTCTAAGATCAGGATTGCCATCTATATCAGGGATTAAAAAAAAATTGAGGCTAATCATTTCCAAGTCATGGATCAAATGATATGGGAAGTGTTTTCTCCTCCATTTTAAAAGTTGATAAGTTAATTTATTTTTCTATCTCTTAATTTTTACATTTTCAATTACATTTGCTCTTAGTATGTTTCTCAGTCAAAACAGACCTGTGGTCCATTTTTGGATGGGGAACCACAGCTGTTGTAAACGTTTCCAGCTAACAGGGAATGTTCTCAGTACTTTGTCTAATGTTCTGGCAATGATCTCTTAAAGTTATGAACAAACGCTCTTCCAGTAACATTAATGGAACATTCGTTCAAAGTTAGCTGGTCTTTAATAATGTTCTCAAAATGTTAGCACAAAAACATTGTTTATACATCGTTCATGGAATGTTTTCATAATGTTCTTAGAACATATGTTTCTGGTTATTCTCAGCTCTAAAATATTGCAGACTATTATACAGACTAGAAATTGCTCTTCTTGAGTGCAGTCTGTATAAAATGATTTTTAGAAATGCTCATCCAGTAATCATGAATGACTGAAAATCATGGAAATGTCTTGCTCAATGCATTTGGAAAAACTGTTTGTGAATTTTAATGTATGCGCATAGTAAGTTGCAGCCTGAGGTATGTATTGATCATCAACAGGATTGCAGAACATCAGCATGTGGAATCTGAGGGAAAGTGAGTTCTTAAGGGTGTTGAGTGACTGTTTACATCTCGTTACTGTCTGATCGTTTCACCCTCACAGACTCAAAATCCTCTGCGGCCATCATTTGCTGTCCACCATTACCGTTGAGTCCTGCCCCCCTCAGCCAACCAATATGATTGTTCATTTCCAGCGTTCTGCAATATTTGTCTCTGACATTGAATCCTGTGCTGTGATAATTAGAAAACGCAAGGCCTCATTTGTTTCTTTTTGTAAGGAGACGTATTAGGTGTGAAGTGCTGCCTTAATTTGTCTCTCTGCACGTAGGTTATCAGAGCTCCCACCGTCTGACCGCGCTTCACTGGTACCTAATCCCAGACGGCATGATGAATGGCCAAACATGTCAATGATTTGTATTTAGTCCAAAACACAATAAGCTGAACAGCATATTTCCGCAATTACTTCTGGACTGCATGCTGTTGTGTGGAGCAGTCAGCAGTGAAGGATGCTCAGTTATCCTGGGGAAGAGCTTCGAGGGATTGAAATGGATTTTTTCACCCGCATTCATTTGACTGGGCTGATAATAGTGAGATGGTGCTGCTTAAAAGTCCTTCATCAATGATTTTATGATTTAAATGATTTAGGATCAGGCTTATAATAGGGTTGGAGAGAAACAAAACAAAATGTGTTTGGTCTTCATAGAGTCCAGTTGGGAACCAAAAAAATTGCCCTGTCATTGGATACTATGTCGATCCACAAAGAAACTTTCACAAGTTGAAATGAACTGCTGATGCAGATGGTTGAGTTCGCCTAATTTATTCCTATCTACAGTCATACAAGGTCACAGAAGCATTAAGGTCCAGAAATCTGGTTTAAATATTTTTCATTTAAATACATTAATTATATTATATTTATATTACTGTATCTTAATTCTCAATTCATTCAAGGCATCAGTAAATTGTGATTAAAAAAAATAAAAGGAACTAAAAATTTACCAATGGGTACCATGCTCTTTAATCAGTTTAATTAAAGGAATAGTTCACCCAAAAATAAAAATGTGCTAAAAATTTACTCACCCTAAGGCCAAGATGTAGATGAGTATACTTCTTCATCGGAAACGATTTGAAGAAATTTAGCATTACATCACTTGCTTACTATGAATCCTCTGCAGTTAAAGGGGTCATATGATGCGATTTCAAGTTTTCCTTTCTCTTTGGAGTGTTACAAGCTGATTGTGCATAGATAAGATCCCTGAAGTTGCAAAGACTAAAGTCTCAAAACCAAAGAGATATTCTTTATCAAAGTTAAGACTCTGCCACGCCCCCCTAAAACGGCTCGTTCTAACACGCCCCACATATCTACCTCACTATGTGGAAACATTTGCATAATGCCACCCAAATGTGCACGCAAAGAAAGAAAGCATGGTTTCAGTAACCGCAGTTAGTGTAAAGGAGGGGGCTTTGTAGAAAACGAAGCGTTTGAGAGAGGCGGGGCATAGAGGACCTACAATAATGTACAGTATTTGAAAAATAATGTGTTTTTTGAACATTAAAGCATGTCAACATATTCTGTTACACCAAATACACAAAATAATGATCTTTAAAAAAGCATCATATGACCCCTTTAAGACATTTTTCATTTCAAACCGTCTAAATCAGAAGAGAAATATGCACAGATATAGCACCGTTTACAAGCAAAAACAGTCCAAAACAGTTCTAAAGAAATATTTTGGTGGATTTGATGTGAGAAGACAACAGGGAGAGAACACTGGAGAAAGTGTTATCAATTATAGACCTGTATTTTGGCCAGAAGCGATGGTTTAATGCTAAAATGCCTTAATTATGGACTTGTTTCTTACAAATGCACAGCTTTTTGCTTCACAAGATGTTAATTGATGGACTGGAGTCATGTGGATTACTTGTGGATTCTGCTGTGGCTGTAATAGGTCAAATTTGCGTCAGCAAATCTGATCAAAAACAGATAATATTGTGTTTAAAATATAACTTAATATTAACTTCTTATGCTTCTCTATTTAAACTGTTGTATAAAATCACATTTGAACTCGTGCTATTCAGGAGAAAAAAACACTGGTGTGACATTGCTCTCGCTGCTTGTGTGATATCGCTTATCATATGATATAAAAATGAGACAAAAACTCATACAGCGGCATTTATTTGGCTCAATATCTTGAATTTTAGCGGCACATAACTGCATTTATGGACTACATAGTTGTTGCCCTGCATCATGTTCGTAAACATCAACTGTAAAAAATGTAAGATGACGTACAGATCTGGGGGCGGGGCCAGTGCATTAACTGCGCTAAAATATTTGAATTGCGTTATTTTCCCATAACTAATAAATTGAATTAACATGTTAAACTGATAGCTTAAAACATATACGGTTTTCTCTGGGAACTGTGTACATTGCTCTGCAACTCTGTAAATTGATAAGTCTAAAAATGAGTGACAGCATCTGCCACAGTTATAAAATGACCCCTGTATATCGTATATTCCCTTCAGCTTCAGAGACATTAATATTCAAATGCAATGTGTTTTACTCTCCTTGAAACCAAAGCACTGTCATTTGTCACTTCAAAGTGGACAGTTAGACACATGGGCCTGTTTCTATAAGGAGAAGGATTGGTCCTCACATTCACCTGTCTGCATGGGTTAGTGGATACTATTATGTGCTTATTGCAGCTTTCTCTCCTAATAATACATAAAAGACAATATTTTATAGTTTAGTCTGCAACAAAAGAGTTTTCTTTTTCTCAGATTTGTGCACAAATCACTAAATATTGACTAAAAACTAAATATTGTTAATAATGTGTGGTAATATTTTCATAATAATAATAATAATAATAATTATTATTATTTAGTTTATTGGGTGGGGGGGTCAGTACACCCACCTTTCTTTCGAACCCTTCGAACCCAAAACATTTTTGCATGAAACCAGAGATGGTACAAAATATGCTTTGAAAATATTAGTTTCTCATACTTTGCTGTACTTTTCTGTAAATCTAATTCTTTATTGATAAACAGAGCATGAAAAACATGGAAATCATGACATTAAAACCTAAGCTGCTAATACATTCTGGGGCAACATCTGTTTTAACTCCATTATGCTTTAATCTGTATTTGCTGACCTGAAGTGGCGGTTATGTAGAAACCAGAGAGCGTTTGACATTTTCATTGTTGTGCCTCATTATGATTCTGGTCACGAGCTGCTGATATTTATATACTTATTATGTATATATTTCTTTTATTTCACCATGTCCATGCTGTTGGATCGTGGGTGTCTTTATTGAAAATGTGTGCGTAAGTTCATTTGCTTGGCTACTTCACTGACTTCATGTCCACAGGGAATCTTTCTGATAATGGGGTGTGAAATTAATATCCAAGGGGAGGCAGCTGAAATATGTGTGTGGTGTGTGAGAGTATGTGCGTGTGTATGCAACTGTATGTGGATGAGTGTCTCAACTTATTTCTCTTATGTTATATGAAGATCAC